ATGCTTGGTTTAGGAAACAAACCCCCACAAACTTTCTCCTTGTCGCTGCTTCAGTGAATTAAAAGGCATGGCAAATGATCTCACAGAAGCCACTTAAGGCAGGGGAGAGAAAAGGATTTCTCACTGAAAATAGATACTATAGGCTCCAGATGTTTTGGAAATGCCTGTAATCTAGGTAATCCCTCTTGGGTAGCTGGATATTAAATAAAAATATAATCTGAAATGGCTCCAGTATGGATTCTAAAAAAGAAATATGCAAATGAATTAAACTTGCAGATATGCTACCGATATATTGCTACCTGTTTTAAAACCGTATTGGAAGATGGGGGTATAGTAAACTCTATTACCTAGTCTGTGAGTCTGTACTGTGTAACAAAATAGTTGCCAGAGATATTTGCCTGGCAGGGCCAGCCTAAAATCTGATTTAAGGACTCTTCATACCTACCTACCTCAACCCAGAACTGCACCCGACACAACGCTTGTGCGGCCGCCGGTGAGTGCAGATACAAAACTTGCGACAGTGCCGCCGGCAGCGAGGGGGCTGACAGCCAAGAACACCTGAAAGAGAGGCGCGGCAAGCTGAGCCGCCAGCAGAGCCGCGCGCCCCCCTGACTCCCCCCCTCCCCAAGAGACCCAAGAAAAACTTGCAAACAAAAAAGGAGACCCGAAGTTTGGACTACCAGAGCAGAGCCCAGGAGGACCGCGGACCAACGAGCAGCGGGAAACGGCAGGCCAGGACAATGAAGCCACGAGGAACAGGAAAGGAGAGGAATGACGACCCGACATGCAAATCGCCAAAAAACGAAACGGGACTGAGGAAGGTGAGGAGGGGGTTTAAGTAGGTAACATGCCCCTCCCACAACTGCAGGCCAAGCCTTCACATTTGTCTGAGGTGAAACATCCTGCTGTGTACAACTCTAGCACACAATAATCACTGCATGCAGGTATCTGCAGTAGAATGGCTTGTACTATATAGTTCATTAAATATTTAGTCTGATGTAGAATGCCACCTATCCATTAGGTCGCTCTGTCCAGTATCTGCCCTGCCCAGTACTAAGTGAGATAACTGTGAATTAGAACATTTAATTTTCTTGTGAAGTGGTAACCCACAGAATCTCTCAGGCTGGGACCACCAGGTGCTCATGAGCATGACGTTAACATTGTGTGTCTTGGGTTTCAGCACTCTCTGCTGGGTTTCATATTGACTCCGGAAACAATGCCGGCCCAAGAACTGCTTGTTAGAACATTGTGAAATGGAATTCCACGGCTGCGCATTGTGAGACCATGTTTATCATTCTGTAAATGAATTTAACAAGTTGGATGGAGTGAAGTGAAGCTTGCTGCCTTTGCTCTCTGGGTCATAAGAATGAATCAACCATCAACAATAATAGGCAGTTGGTTATATTGACATGGAACATGGTCTTATGCATCAAAGTCAAATTGCTCACCTACACATACTTGACCACTACGGTGCAGGATTTACAATGGCAAGGATTTTAGGATTAAGGTTGGGAATTTATGAGAGTAGATTAGGTTTGTATTTAGGGGTTAGAATTTGTAATAGAGGAAAAGGCAAGGAATTAAAGATGCTTGGGATTCAATTTATTGGTTAGGGTTCAGAATAGGGTGCGCACCCTTAAAGATAATTATTGCAATTAGTGAGATAATATTTTAGGATAAGACATTAAAACAATGGGTGCAGGCAGAGAGGATCAAGCTTATAACTCATGTTTTGGGCTTATTTGGGGGAAATAAAGACTGGCCCACAGACTTTCATCCCACCAGCATTTAAAAGGGCAGAGGACGCGGATTATGGCATATTCCGCATCATCCTGATTGCAATATGACAACTTTAAGGTTACGTAGAGATAAAGCAATGGTCTGGGACAGTTTTTCATAATTCAAGATTAGCCTTTTAGTTTTGTTATATGCGTATCATAATATTACAGCTTAGAAAGATATCCTGTAGAATTCTGTGTTTCTGAACGAAAAGAAATGATTTGTCAAGTTCAGTGTGGCCATGCTCCAGTGATTCTCTATGAGAATCAGTAATGACACGCCCATAATGTCTGTCCACCAATGACCATGCTCCGGTGATTCTATAGGAGAATCAGTAATGACACGCCCACAATGTCTGTCCACCAATGGCCATTCTCCAGGGACTCTCTATGAGAATCAGTAATGACACGCCCACAACGACTGTCCACCAATGACCATGCTCCAGTGATTCTCTATGAGAATCAGTAATGACACGCCCACAATGTCTGTCCACCAATGGCCATGCTCCAGTGATTCTCTATGAGAATCAGTAATGACACGCCCACAACGACTGTCCACCAATGGCCATGCTCCAGTCATTCTCTATGATAATCAGTAATGACATGCCCACAATGTCTGTCCACCAATGGCCATGCTCCAGTGATTCTCTATGAGAATCAGTAATGACACGCCCACAATGTCTGTCCACCAATGGCCATGCTCCGGTGATTCTATAGGAGAATCAGTAATGACACGCCCACAATGTCTGTCCACCAATGGCCATTCTACAGGGACTCTCTATGAGAATCAATAATGACATGCCCACTACGACTGTCCACCAATGACCATGCTCCAGTGATTCTCTATGAGAATCAGTAATGACACGCCCACAACGACTGTCCACCAATGGCCATGCTCCAGTCATTCTCTATGAGAATCAGTAATGACACGCCCACAATGTCTGTCCACCAATGGCCATTCTCCAGTGATTCTCTATGAGAATCAGTAATGACACGCCCACAATGTCTGTCCACCAATGGCCATTCTCCAGGGACTCTCTATGAGTATCAATAATGACACGCCCACAATGTCTGTCCACCAATGGCCATGCTCCAGTGATTTTATTAAAACACGAAGGCTCCTATTATGCTGCACTCTTTCTTTTTTTCCCTCAGCAGCAAAGAATTTTTTTTTAAACATAACCAGTAGTAACAATAAACAGTCTGAGATGAGTATCTTAGTAACAGGAACAGCCAATCGGATTCCACTCTCCAGCAGACAGAGCATAGGCTCTGTCAACCATCCAATTCCTCTTTCTTTGCTGCTCCCTCAGTTAAGTGACATCAGGTCCCCACGTTTCCTTAACTGTGGGATCGTTTTTTACATATTATATTACTGTATTATTTAATACTGTTTATTTAATCCGATTGTCTTTAATACTATTTAGTTAATACTGTTTTATTATATGAGGTTATTGATTATTAGTGGGAATTTTAAACGTCCCAATATTACTCCTTGTTGCTACAATCTGGGTTAGTTTACACAGGCTTTGTTGGAATACGTCTGATTGCTGTTTGGAGGTTGTTCTCCTCATTGGTTCCTTATCACCTGAGCCCAGTATGATTATCTGAGCTTGGGGGTGTCTGCAGGAACTGAAAGGATAATTGCTGTTCTGGACTCAACTCCCCTCGATTCTCGATCCTCCGATCACCACATCAATTGATGGGAGTTCTTGTTTAGCAAATTAAGACAAAGACACGAAAGAGTGCTTAACAAGTTCTCAATGAGTGTATTTTCAGGGCTAGCATTTATACACAGGTTGTCATGCAAGCCGTGAGATCTATAGTGTCCTTGTAGTTAATAGTACATACTTGTCGGACATGAAAAAGATAAGCATTTGGATAAAGACGAGACAGGAACATCCTAAGGTCAAAGAAGGTCATACATCCTGTATACGAAAGACCTTGGTACAAAATACATCTGCCAAAGTCAGCATAATTATTTCAAACATTATTTTAAAGCAAGAAAGAGTTTAACTATTTCATATCCTTACAGTCAGTACTAATGATTATAAACCTTATCTAAGCATAAAATACATATGAACAAGGAAAGTTAACTATTTCAGCTTTCATCCCCCTCTTTGAGCAATACATTGCTCATCTTATCGGTTAAAATCTTCCCAGGACAGAGACACTTCCACATTATGGTATTCCCAAGCAATCATGTGGTCTACAAGAAACAGAAACTCAGCAGGAAAAAAGACACTTAATACTTTTACAGACAGATATATAGAAAATGGATGTTTAAGACAAAAGGGAACTTGGGCTTATAGCAAATATATTATTGCAAATAGCTGACATGTTAACCAATTTTAAACAGACTAACCAGCCTGTCATCTGTATTGTAAGCCCTGGGTAAATATGGGCAAAGTGTATTATTCCCAACAGTTATTTTCCTCCTTTGTCCACGGAAGTGGGCGCATATAGTCAAAGTGGGAATAATACCTATCCCCCGTTCAAGGACCGGGGTCTAGGATTACCAGTCCACCCGATGATCTGGGGCCAGGCAAAAAACCCCAGTGGCAAAAACTCATATTTGAGGAAAAAGCACATCTGGGGAAAACCTGAGTGGGGGCCGCGATCGTGTTAGACATGTCATCCCCTCACAGTTGACACCACTTGTGACTTATAATACCTGCACCTGTGAGTACATAGCTCGGGTATTAGGAGGAATTGGGAAACACTTCTTACATATTAATTCATGAGATAAATTATAATCTAGCTTGAAATTCTGACAATAATAACCAGGACCTTGCGTCCTATATCTTTTAACCATTTCCCTATTCCAAAGGTCCAGTCAAAACCAGTCATATCCTCACGCAGTTCCTCAAAACATGGGAATCCATCCTTGGCACATTCAACATATATCAAAAACACACATAATCCCTGGGTCAGCTAACACTTCCTCTCTCTCTCCGGCTAACTCTACAAAAATAAAAATAAAAATAAAAAATAGTTCAATAGTTCAGAAAAATAGAATAAGTCTTTCACAGAGTATAAAGAAATCAGTTTAGACACCAGACATTTTGTTCCATAAAATGGCTAAGGGTAGCAATATGGCTGACAACAAGACAATGTCAGCTTCCACATAGTTCTTCTTTTGTTATCTGGATTTTCACCACAATGCTCTGTGCAACACCCCAATGGTTGAAAGGGTTATTACAGAACCAGCGGTATTAGATAGCACTGCACCTTCAGGACTTTCCAGGTTCTTGCGTGCAAAGTTTATGTCCTCATAAGTATCTCAGTTTCTTCGGCCTGCATGGATTATGACCAAACAGATGTAATTGCAAAATACTTATTGCATGGTCAGCCAGAGAGATTGGTGTGTAGTCCCAGAAATCAGGCGGCACAAACACTCCAGGACGGTCTCTACAATCATACAAACACAAGGATCAATACAACATTAATTAATTACCTAGGCTAAAACTTAAATTAGAGATTAAGGTTAAACCCTTAATTTGTGTAACATGTACTTCTCTTACATTTGCTTATATTTTATGCAATCTGTCTTCTATGAAGTTTTACATAATATCCCTTTGGAATGCCTTTGTATGGATGAGAGAAGCACTCACTCTATAGAAATGCTTGTTAGGATGAATGTTAAAACACTAACATTTGCATATACATTCCCAATAAAACTTTGTTCCTAAACTTGAACCTTGATTTGATACTCAAAATTAATTACTTTAATAATCCCAAATAATTCAATACTCTTGGATTAACACCTAAACCTATATAAAATATTAAAAACATGAACCATCTGTGTATTAGGCTGGGATTGTTGGGTGTGGGTTTTGTGGTTGGTATTGAGGAATCTGTGGGGGTGGATTTGGGCACTCATTTTTCCAGTGACCCTGCTATCCACAATTAGAACTGTGTGTTCCACCAATACTGAAGTTGCTACCTCTACAAAAGTTAGAAACTTTGACCAAATCCTCTACCTTTGCCTTTAAAACTTTTCTGATTCAATCTCCTATCACGTCCCAAATTTCTTTGTCTCGCCTGCTTAGGATCACAGTCCTTGTGACTGCTACAACATACCTTTTCCTTCTTTCTTTCTATCAAAACAACCTGCTGTATCTTTCTCATGAATCTTCCCAAGAAATTCATTTGGGGTCAAAAAGGGCCAGTTGTAAGAATATTAAATAGTTAACTTGTTTATATGTATTTTATGCTTTTATAAGGTTTATAATATGATTATTGCTGACTGAAGGAATATTGAATACTTAAAGTCAATATGCTGACTGTGACAGACTAAGGTATTTCTTCTATAGGATGTAAGACAATGCTAAATTTCAGGATGTCTTGCCCATTCCGATTTTAAGGATATTCTTTTCCAGACGTATGCAAAAGCTTATCTTTCCATTGTCAGAATAACGTAATACAAGGAAGTAATAAATCTTATAGTCTGTACTGTATTTGCATATACCATGGCTAATGTAAGCAAACTATGTATAAAAGCCAGCTCTGGAATACACTCATTTGAGAGTCTTGTAAAGCTGTTGTCCGTGTGTTATTGCTTACAAATGATTCTCCATCAACGTTGATTATGGTGACCGAGGGATCGAGAACCGAGGGGATTAGAGTCCATTACAACATTAACCCTTTCAGCTTGGTGTCTAGAAGTGGGATAGATGAAGTGGATCAGCAAAACCATTTGCGGTGAGTAGCCTTTTTGTGTCTTATTTGACGCTGATTGTCTATGACCCCAGTTTGGTTCAGTAAGTCTGTATCCAGTAGATAGGAAAGGTGTAAGGACTCTAGTTATATTGAGACTATAAGAGGTCTCCGGTTTATTAGACATTTGGTCTAAATATATAGGGTTTTGGTAACCCAGGTTAGTATCTAAGATAGATACAGGTTTTTGAGACCATAAGAGGTCTCCGGTTTATTATAGGGTTTTGGTAACCCAGGTTAGTATCTAAGATAGATACAGGGTATCTCAGGTAGATACAGGTTTTTGAGACCATAAGAGGTCTCCGGTTTATTAAGTCTATAGGTGTTCTGAGCAGCATGGTTTGTAGATCTTTAAGTATAACCCAAACTTCTCTTTCTCCCGGTCACCTTTGTTTGTCTTAAGTGTTTTTGTGGGTGATTGTTTGTCTATATTGGGGACACACTTTGGTAAGTTAGTAGTGTCCCCACTCTGAGTCAGCAGTATGGGAAATGTGAGTTCATGTCCTGAGTGACCAATATATGTACATGTATATGTGTGTGTATGTGTATATATGTGTGTGTATATGTATATATATGTGTGTGTATGTATATATGTGTGTGTATATGTATATGTGTATATATAAGATAGCAGTACTTTTAAACAAATTAAGGTTTTAAAAATACATAGGGCTTAAGGAGAGAACGCAGGTAACTTGTTTTTCTTTGGTTTTTACCATATATTGGGGCTGATGTGTACTGTAGTCCTTGCTGCTGCCCAGTAGTGATGGGAGTGAGCGCAGGACTTATCTTTCTGCAAGATAGCAGTACTGTATATTAGAAAAGAAATGACTCATAGGTTGTACCTGATAGACCTACTTAAATCTTTTTGCTTTATTCTTTCTGTCGCATAGAAGTATAAGTTTATTACTCTGTTTTATTGTAAGTTATTTCACATGGGAACTGTGTGCCTGGAATGATTGTTGCTTTAAAAATACTATAAGCCCACTACACTTATTATGAGAGTGGGATAGTGTAAATGTGTTGCATTGTTTGCATGATGAGCTCAGTATATTTTATAACTGAGACAAAAAGTCACTTCATTAGTATTTGAAAGTTAATTCCCCATATGGGATTAATTGTATAGAAACACCAATCAGCACATCTTCCCTGCCCTGTGTGTTTGTTGCAAAGGATCCATACTGTAAATATGATTTTTGTTTGAAAATAAGAGAGCAACATTTACATTTTCAGCGGTCCAACACATGCTTTATTTTGCACTGTAAACTAACCTTTTTATTGCAACAGATTCCTTTTAAATGATCCAGTGTAATAACTACTGCTTGTGTCTTCTATGTCTCACATTATGTGTTCTTTTAAATTGTGGTATATAGCCTGAATCAGACATCATGGACAAAAGGTTTTTACCTGTGTTACTAAGGGCTCTTGGAGACTGACCGGTCTAAAGGTTTGCCATGCCTTTAAAACATGGTATAGTATAAATTTTTTAAGTCTCTGAGAGTTCTGAAAGATTCAGGTGAAACCATGTCTGTTTAATCTGGTCCAGATGTTTGCAAAAAATTTCTGTAAGATTTAAGTTGATGCAGCATCATCTCAGATTAGTTAATGGTAGTTTTATACAAATAGTTGAGTTATGAGCGCGCTATATAAATGGATCCTTTCTTTAAATATAATACTATAGTAGATTAAAGTAATGAAGTTAATTAAGAAAATGTACACATAAGAATCCCTAAAATAAATCTAAACTAAAATTGGTATACTTTCCAATAATATGTTCTGAATACAGCTGTTAACTGTTTATTCTGTGTAAATGGTGACTGTGATAATGTGTGAAGTGTGCAGTTTAACTTGAAAGTGGTTTAATTTATGTTGCTGTATTGTTTTAAATTATATGTGAATCAGTTTGTCACAGTCTAGTGATACTGATAAGAATGACAGCCAAATAACCTAGCAAATAACTGTTTTATTAGTTGTTGAATACTAGCGTTTTGGCCAAGAATAGTTGGAGATTTGGAGGTGTTAGTTTAAGATTGCTTTTATATTGTGTCTATCCATGTTTCCTAGGAGGGAGACAGAGTGTGTAGTTGTGTGCCCATAAATGTGATTTCTGTATTGGCATATCTGCTGGGTACCCATTATGTGTTTCTACAAAGATATTGTTTTGTGAGATGACTAATATTACATTGGATGCTGAGTATGAGTTATATGGTTTGAAATGAATTGGTGATTATGAGCTTAGTACTTCAGTAAGATGTGCTAAAATTTGGAACAAGGTGGAAGCTGAAATGTTGGGATTATGGTAGAATAAGCAGTCTATATTCACTGCTTTGGCATATAAGCAAGATGCAAAGGAAGAGATTGGTAATATGATTTTTGTAAAGAAATTTTACAAGTGTTGGAAGGATGAGGCAGGTTTGATGTCTGGAGATGATATAGATCTCTTTAAAATACAGTCATGCCTTGGTAATATGTTGCCACAGTATTCTTTGCTTGTGAAACAATTGATCAGACTGGGCCAATTTGGATAGCTCAGATTTTCTTACCAAGGTTATAGAAAAGGAAAATGCAGGTTGTTTTGAATTAAGAAAAGGTTTAGGAAAGTAAGGTTGCTTATTATGCTCAGGGATTGCAACATATGTCCAGCTACACAGGCTGAGAGCAAGGATGGGATGGAGCACATAAAGCCCGCGGAAGGGGTGGTCAAAGAGGGGCAAGGGGATGGAGACAGGGAAATCAGGGTTATAGGGGCAGGGGTAACCAAGGAGGAATAGACAGGAACACTTGTTTCAACTGTGGCCAATATGGCCACTGGAGGAATGAGTGTCCACACCCCAGGAAACCCCACACACCCCAACAACCCCACAATTCTCAAAATATGCCCGGTAGGCAAGAACAACACCAGACCCACTCCCAACACCACTGGCCAGCATATCGCTTAGTTCAGGACTTTAGAGCCCTGAATAGTTTAATTGTGCCCATTTCACCCATTGTCCCTGATGTGACATCCCTCATTACAGCCATTCCACATGATGCCACTTGCTTCACTGTCATTGATTTAAGTAATGCATTTTTTTCTATACCTATTGATCAAGAGACACAGCTACTTATGGTTTTTACTTTTTGAAGGCTGTCAGTTTACCTGGACACGCTTACCCAAGGCTATGTGGATTCCCCAGCTGTTTATTCGTTGGTACTCCAACATACTCTAAAAAACATGGACCACCGGTCATGGTTCCGTCCTTTTTGCAAAATGTTGATGATTTGTTGTTATGTAGCCCTAGCTATGAGGCAAGCACTGTGGATACTGTCAGCAACTGTAGGTCACAAGGTTGTTAAACATAAAATGCAATTGTGTAAATCAAAGGTTGAATACTTAGGTTTTGTTCTGGCTTTAGGCACCAGACAATTGAGTCCAAAACGTATTGAGGTCATTCAGAGGATTCCTACACCCACTACTCGGAAGGAGTTGCTCACCTTCCTCGGCATGATTAATTACTGCCGCCAATGGATCCCTGAATGCTCCCATTATAACTCAATCCTAAGGGAGGCTGTACGTTCTGACAGCCCTGAAAATGTCTGCTGGTCACCAGACATGCTAGCTGCATATATTGCCCTTACAGTTGTTATTGTGCAAGCCCAGGCTTTAGGACTACCTGTGTATTGTAAACCATTTCATTTGTATGCTTGGGACAATTGTAAAACCATGGCCGCGGTCTGTGCACAAGAGCAAGGAGGCGGTATGCGTCCCATAGCATTCTTTTCCAAAGTAGTTCGAGCTCCGGTACAGGGTATGCCGGCGTGTCTCAGAGCATTGATAGCATGTGCAATGGCTGTTGAAACTGCTACTACTATCACACTAGGGCATCCTACAATACTTCATGCCAGTCACCAGGTCACTCAGCTGACAAATCTCACCACACAACACATGACAGCCCAGCGCTTCAGTGGTTATGAGATTCTTTTTTTTTTTTAAATACCCAGAATCTGTCTTTTGGATTAAACAAGGTTTAGAGAAAGATCAAAATGATCTGTTCTCTAAAGAGGGGAGAATAGGCATACTTGAAGAATAGGCATACTTGAAGCAAGCTGATTTATTTTCATCAGTCAGGCACATAGCAAGCACCATTCAATTCCTCATGAATTCATTTTATATTAGGAATCTCAGGCAGCATGTACAGTCTTTTGTAAGATCGTGTGAACACTGCTCTTTTTACACACTTACAGATTGATTTTATTCATGTATCCAAAATTGGTAAGAAACAGCAATACTTACTGGTCATAGTTAATCAGTTTAGTAGATGGCATGAGGCCTTTGTGACATCTAGGGAAGATGCTAGTGAAGATTATTGTTACTGAAATTATTCCCAGGTATGGCTGCCCTCTGCAGATTGGCTCTGATAATGGCCCGGTTTTTGCCAGTAAGGTTGCCCAGGAACTTGCTAAATTCTTGCAAGTTACCTGGCAGTTTCATATACCTTATCATCCACAGAATACAGGGGTAGTTGAAAGGATGAATAGGACTATTAAGGAAAAGCCCAGAATTTACCCAGGAACATGGGTAAATTGGACTAGATATCTACCAGCTATTTTAGCTGAGATAAGAGTGATTCCTCACAAGGTGACTAAATTATCTCCATTTGAGATTTTGATGGGACGACCTTTTCCCACACCCTGGGCCAGGGAACCGCTTGTTATAATGTCGGGGGATTTACAGCTTATACAAGAACAATATGTACAGGAATTGTTGATAAAACCGAATGGTATGTATGACAATGTTTCTTCGCAGTTTTCCCTTACCTTCACAGGAACCTACTCATTCATACCAGCCCGGTGACAAGGTGTATATCCGTCAGCTGAACAGGACCAAGAAAGGAGGATACCCTTTTGGACCACCTGCTACTGTGATTGCTGTAACCAGAACCGCTGTCCTCACAGATTCCCATGACATCTGGATTCACGCATCCCGAGTGAAGCTGTGTCCAAAGAGGGGAACCAAGGAAGACAACACCACTCCTCGCTCGGAAACAGAAGAATTTCTCCTCAGCGAAGCATCATGGCTTTTACACCATATCGTAGATTGAGAGGATCATACGTACCTGAGACCAAGATTATGTTGTGTGCTATGCTTTCTGGAGTTGTTATACTCCCTCTGATATTGTTCCTTGAATGCCATTATGAGTACAAGTCAATGGCAAGTTCTGGAAAAAGACTCTGACATGATGAACAATTCTTCAATACCCCCAGCCCAATTAGGCCTTAGCCCCTCATCTAGCATTCGTCACACACGCCCCCTCAAGAACCTTTCTCCACCACCTTTCTATCAGCATGTAATATGCAATCATTCATTCACTGAACGCATTTGGATGAATTGGACAAATAGTAACCCTTATAAGTACCAGTTACCCATATGAAATGTGTCTACAGCTAATGAAACCGATGCATTATGTTTGTTTGAAGGTTCACAGAAAATTGTTAGATCTTATAACGCAGAAATGTGCACAGTTAAGGTTGCATATCAATGTAAACAGACAGGCCTTATTACTTTTAATAATGATTATATAACTGGTATCATTAATTGGAGAAGGGGACAAATGTTAGTCAATATGAACAACACTACAATTGAGAACTATACACTACCTTATATTTTTACACCTTATTACTGTCCTTCATCCTCTACCATAGAACCAAAAGTCAACCACGACACACACACACCTATTCCGTCCACATGTGTTAATACAACTGCCTTCTTACAAGCTGTACATGTGTCATTAAAAATCACTACTCTTGTTGTAACATTATGTAATACAACAAACAAAGGCAGAAAAGGGAATGGTATGACACACTGTTAGGAGGTGCTGGAACCACTATGGGTATACTAAATAGTTATAGATATGGAGACCCTCAAGAATAAGTTAAATACAGCCAGCATGCATATAGGGACTGGTTTTCATGCTACTGCAAATTGGGCTCCAATTGTTGTTAAATCACAGGTTATAGGATTGGATTTAGATAAATCAATGTATAATTATTTAGATAATTTAACTGTTGCAACTATGAAATTCACTACAGGTCTAAGTAACTGGAGTACCTGTGCCATCAGGTATTTATGGATACAACAACAAGGATTGGCATTAGAAAACACACTAATGATTCCTAAACTAGAGAAGATTAGAGGAATGTGTAACCTCACAGATAATGAATGGTTACTTCTAAAACCCCAATCCACTAAATGCAATGGATGGTTAACTGGTAATGTTTCACATTTTTCATGCTCATGCTATTTTACATTATATCATACATCATCAAAGGATGTTAAATTAGCTTGTCAATTTAACACATTACCAGTACCAGTTTATGATCTTTTTGCCAAGAATTTAACCTGGTGGGCACCCACATACACAGGGGACTATATTTTTCCCAAAGATAACATACACAGATAGCCACACATATCCTAAAAGGAGAACTCCTTAAGGTGAGTTCACAAATTCAGAATGATTTAGCCCATCATTGGTACGATGCTTCACTGGTTGGTCCCCTACTGGATCCCAGATAATGAAATCATTCTTCTATCCTTTTGTTATTATAGTCCTGATTTTATTGTGTATGGTTTTATATAACTGTCACCTTACTTGTACATTGAGGAAGTGAGTACAGAAATGAATCCATAATGCAGAACAGAAACAATTAGAAATTCTCCTCTCTGCCACTGTAGAGTATCAACCCATCTTTAAACTGGGCCTTAGGAATTACCACATGGGAATCGAGGTGAAGAAATTAATGAAAGTCCCGCAGGGAGTGACTAGCACCCCTGAAAATACCATGTGGAAGTTTCTCTGTCCTGGTAGGATTTTATCGATAAGATGAGCAATTGTTTTATTGCTCAAAGAGGGGAATGTAAGAATATTAAATAGTTAACTTGTTTATATGTATTTTATGCTTTTATAAGGTTTATAATATGATTATTGCTGACTGAAGGAATATTGAATACTTAAAGTCAATATGCTGACTGTGACAGACTAAGGTATTTCTTCTATAGGATGTAAGACAATGCTAAATTTCAGGATGTCTTGCCCATTCCGATTTTAAGGATATTCTTTTCCAGACGTATGCAAAAGCTTATCTTTCCATTGTCAGAATAACGTAATACAAGGAAGTAATAAATCTTATAGTCTGTACTGTATTTGCATATACCATGGCTAATGTAAGCAAACTATGTATAAAAGCCAGCTCTGGAATACACTCATTTGAGAGTCTTGTAAAGCTGTTGTCCGTGTGTTATTGCTTACAAATGATTCTCCATCAACATTGATTATGGTGACCGAGGGATCGAGAACCGAGGGGATTAGAGTCCATTACAACATTAACCCTTTCACCAGTCACAGACCAGCAAGGAACAAAAGTGAACAAGGAGGAAGCATATTCCATATGCAGGATGGGATTACCGAACTCACATCCCCTCTTTGTGTACCACACAGATATAATATTAATAAGCTTTTAAAGGTTTAATGGATAGTTAAATTGTGTATGTAAAGCAAGGTTGTCTAGGGGTATATACATCAACAATGAAAGCATAGCCTTCATATAGGGCTTGCAATACTGACAGTCTGTGTCATGAGCATAATGCAGACATGCGGTTAGGTACTTTTCCATTGTTATAATATATTGAAAACACTAAGACTTTGCAAATATTTTTAAAACACATATTGCTTCCTGTACCTGGGGCCGTGCAAGGATGTAGTTGGGATATATTTCAAATTGAGTATCAAAAGTCTAACCACAAAACTATATGTTATACACTTCTTAAGAAAACAAGTTTAACCCATTAGTGCATACTTTGGATAGCCTCTTTGCATAATTTGTCTCCTAGTGAGATTATTATATTATTTATTTATCCTCTTCTGGATCTGCAAAATGCTTTCACTTTACCCATACAAATATAATACAGTAGTTTAGAAGATTAAGATTAACTCACTTATACATTTCCAAAATTGTCTAATCTCCAATAAAAATACCATTTTATTATTACCCCATAATCAACGAGGCATTCTAGATGAATCTTACTTTGACACAAACAATGCAATATACTTTAAAAGTAGAGTTAACTCTGAGCTGGACAATACTCCCCTATTAGAACTCCTTTATGAGGGAGAGACATCTTGTCCATTCAATCCTTTTTATCAGTAAAAGAATGACTTTTAGGATTAATCAATTTGCAAATGGAAACGTGGACCCACGATTTGAACAGCAGAAGTTTGCGGGGCCATTTTCACGTGGGATGTAACAAGTGCTTTTCTTGCTCCAGGAACGATAGCATACAATTGTTTCATTCCAGCCGGCTGGACAGCATTTCACCTTTTGTAAAAACACTAAATGCTTGCGTTAATGATATGCAAATCACTCTGCTAGTTAAACTCCTACACAATGGACAATAAAATACATGAAACACATAACACACCAATTCATTTCAAACCATATAACTCATACTCAGCATCCAATGTAATATTACACATCATCTCACAAAACAGACATAGTAGATACACGTATCGGGTACCCAGCAGATATGCCAATACAGAAAACACATTCATGAGCACACAACTACACACTCTGTGTCCCTCCTAGGAAACACGGGTAGACACAATATGAAAGCAGTCTTAAACTAACACCTCCAAATCTCCATTCCCATATAGCTATACCAGACCACAACACAGAGCCTCTCTGAGCTCATATAACTACTCCAACTCAAACTACTCTCGGCCAAACGCTAGTATCCAACAGCTAATAAAACAGTTATTTGCTAGGTTATTTGGCTGGCATTTGTATCAGTATCACTAGACTGAAACAAACTGATTCAAATATAATTTAAAACAACACAGCAACATATAAATTAAACCACTTTCCAGTTAAGCTGCACACTTCACACATTATCACAATCACAGAATAAACAGTTAACAGCTGTACTCAGAACATATTATTGTAAGGTATACCAATTTTAGTTTGTATTAGATTTATTTTAGGAATTCTTATGCATACATGTTTTTTTTTTTAATTAACGTCATTACTTTAATCTACTATAGTATTGTATATAAAGAAAGGATCCATTTATATAGCGCGCTCATAACTCAAATATTTGTCTGAAACGTCCATTAACTAATCTGAGATGATGCTGCATCAATTTTAAATCTTACAGAAATTTTTTCAAACATCTGGACCAGATTGCACAGACATGGTTTCACCCAAATCTTTCAGAACTCTCAGAGACTTAAAAAATTTATACTATACCATGTTCTAAGGCATGGCAAACCTTTAGACCGGTCAGTCTCCAAGAGCCTTTGTAACACAGGTAAAAACCTTTGTCCATGATGTCTGATCTAGGCTGTATACCACAATTCACAAAGAACACATATAATGTGAGACATAGAAGACACAAAACATATGCAGTAGCTGAATCATTTAAAGCATCTGTATCAATAAAAAAGGTTAGCTTTCAGCACAAAATGAAGCATGTGTTGAACCGCTGAAAATGTAAATGTTGCTCTCTTATTTACAAACAAAAATCATATTAACAGTATGGATCCTTTGCAACAAACACACAGGGCAGGGAAGATGTGCTGATTGGTGTTCTATACAATTAATCCCATACGGGGAATTAACTTTCAAATACTAATGAAGTGACTTTTGTCTCAGTTATAAAAATACTGAGCTCATCATGCAAACAATGCAACACATTTACACTATCCCACTCTCATAGAAAGTGTAGTGGGCTTATGGTATTAAAGTAACAATCATACCAGGCACACAGATCCCATGTGAAATAACTTACAATAAAACAGAGTAATAAACTATACTTCTATGCGACATAAAGAATAAAGCAAAAGATTTAAGTAGGTCTATCAGGTACAACCTGCGAGTCAGTTCTTTTCTAATATACAGTACTGGTATCCCATATATACGTATATATATATACATATACACATACATATACATACACACTGGCCACTCAGGACCTGAACTTACATTTCCCATACTGCTGACTCAGTGCAGACACACTACTAACTTACCAAAGTGTGTCCCCAATACAGACAATAACCCACAAAGAACACTTAAGACAAACAAAGGTGACCAGGAAAAAGAGAAGTTTGGGGTATACTTATAGATCTATAAACCGTGCTCCTCAGAACACCTATAGTCTTAATAAACTGGAGACCTCTTATGGTCTCAAAACCTGTATCTACCTGAGAAACCCTGTATCTATCTTAGATACTAACCTGGGTTACCAAAACCCTATAATAAACCGGAGACCTCTTATGGTCTCAAAAACCTGTATCTATCTTAGATACTAACCTGGGTTACCAAGAACCCCTATATATATTTAGACCAAATGTCTAATAAACCGGAGACCTATTTACAGTCTCAATATAACTAAAGTCCTTACACCTTTCCTTTCTACTGGATACAGACTTACTGAACCAAAGGGGGTCATAGACAATTAGCGTCAATAAGACACAAAAAGGCTACTCACCGCAAATGGTCCTGCTGTATCCCACTTCTAACACCAAGCTGAAAGGGTTAATGCTGTTCTGGACTCAACTCCTCTCGATTCTCGATCCTCCGGTCACCACATCAATTGATGGGAGTTCTTATTAGCAAATTAAGACACACAGACACGAAAGAGTGCTTAACAAGTTCTCAATGAGTATATTTTCAGGGCTAGCATTTATACACAGTTTGTCATGCAAGCAGTGAGATCTATAATGTCCTTGTAGTTAATAGTACATACTTGTCGGACATGAAAAAGATAAGCATTTGGATAAAGACGAGACAGGAACATCCTAAGGTCAAAGAAGGTCATACATCCTGTAGACGAAAGACCTTGGTACAAAATACATCTGCCAAAGTCAGCATAATTATTTCAAGTTTAACTATTTCATATCCTTACAGTCAGTACTAATGATTATAAACCTTATCTAAGGATAAAATACATATGAACAAGGAAAGTTAACTATTTCAGCTTTCAGGAACCGCTCTGCCTGTAGCGGTGTTTGCGCCCTCTCACCTAACCTATTCCCCGTCTGACCGCCATAATACTGAGGCGAGCGCGTGCACTCCCCTCTCTGCATCCATTCCCCTGTTTTGTGTCATACGTTAGATACCCGCGTTCGGTTATTTGATGCGAGCCTGTACTCGTTTTCATGAACTCCTCATTCGGCGGTTCGTGGGCTAATTCCGCAAACGCATTGTTTCCACACGGCAGGCGTTCGCCTATGCGAACGCTTCTGCTCCATTCCCATTCGGGACTTTTTTACCGCTCGCGGCAGCCATTTTAGTGCCTTCCCGCGCCCTGAAGCTAGCACTGCCCCCCTCAGACCGGAACTCGGAGTTGGGGGTTAGTGCTAGTGGCGGTCAGACGGCTTCCTATCTCTGTGAGTGAAACCTTATCTTACAATTTACAGTTTTATTCATAACTTTACTCCTATTCCTTAGATTCCCTCCTTAGGGTTACTGAACCCTCCCCTAAACAGGTTGTTATATTAATTTTGTTATATTAATTTTGGAAATAATCCTGTCAGTTCATAACATAACTATGCCTTCTGACAAAGAGGCTTCCACACCCTCTGGGTCTACTAACCCTAATACAGGTGGATTTAAAGCACCTTCAGGTGTGTCTGATATTATGGCGGGTCCCCCCGCTGGGCTTGATACCTCTGTGGATATGCAGACCCTGATAGATGACACTATGTCACAAGCTATGACCAAAGCCCTTATGTCGGCCATGGGACTAATGTCTGACTCAATATCTCAGACGCTTACACATGACCTGATTCAAGCGCAAAAATCAGCTCCACCGACTGCGGGCCAGGTTTTGCTGGTCACGGCACCTGTACAACCTCAAGCTGGCCGCAAGGCCTTAGCAAAGGTGAAACATTCCTCAATGCCACAGATGTACATCCATGCACCTGTCACAGATGGCGCGACTATTATGCCACCGCGCAAAAGAGCCCCTAGCCGGGCAAAATCGGCTAGATTATGGAAACGGGCGAAGGCCCAAGTAGATTCTGAGTCGGATCTCAGCGACATTGAGGAGGAGGATCCCGAAT